CAGAATAGACATACAGACCTGCTGTAAGCGCCATTAGACTGCCAATACCATGAACAATCAAATGGCTGTCTTCGATTATGGATTATCGTTCCGCATTTTCCAAAATCTTGAACTGAATCTTGGCAATTTCTCGTTAGGGTAACTGTGGGGAAGACGCACCCCTGGGTTAAACGCCTCCCCTAAAAAAATCGTATTTCTTATCGACGGATAGGTGTTTTATCCTGTCTTTCAGAACAGTCAGCTGCTTGTTTACGTAGGTCTCTATTTCCGGTTCTGCGTCTTGAGGAGCAGCGTGGGTAGGTGCTGATGTTGGTTTTGGGTGTTGTTTTTGTTGTTTTTACAGAAGATTCCTAACATATTGATGCCCTCTTTATATCACAAAACTTGCTATTGTGCACATCACTCAAAACTGCGTTTTATTGTCATTCTGTTGAACGTATTATGCTGCGGCGTTAGTGGCGCGTTTTTTGTCAATATTTTGTTGACCGGAAATGGAGTGGATGGGGCAAGACGCCTACTCGATGCATGGGGCAAGACGCCCCCAGTTTTCTGAAAGGGGGCGTTTTGCACGGTGGTGAGAGTGCAGGGTAGCGCCCTGTAGGTCGGAGCCGAAAAGGCCTCTCCCTGTCCTTTTTAGCTGATATATCCTAAACGACTGCAGATATCGTCACCAAACTTTCAGGACTCCTCCGGGCATCGATTTTACACATTGCAACAAAATTTTATTCCAAAGGCTATGATAGGTTGACCACAAATGACGTCAGAATGACGTCAAGTTCTGCCATGTTCATCATTTTCTGTTGATGGATGGGGTGGGGGCGCTTTGCACATGGGTGTGGGCGTATTACCCAGGGTATGGGGCAAAACGCCCTTTTGTAAGGGTATGCGAAAACCTTTTGGGGGGGTTAAATACCACACACAGGTGTCTTTTCTTGGTCTCAAAGCGTAGTAAAAAGAATGAGCTACATGATGGTGCCCAAAGGTTTAAGTAATCTGTGTTGGGTTGAGTGTCAGAAGGTTTCGCGCTTAAGGGGGGCGTTTTTGACCTATTCACCCTACTACTTCACGACCATGATACATGCATTTCTTAAATTGAACTTTTTGAGCCAAACACGCACATATATGATAAAATGAATGTCACCATCGTGTTCTACGCCCCAAATTGCCCATAAAACATGCGTCACAGGCTGCGAATATCAGTTTTGATTTTCGGGGATATGTGCCTACCCGGTTGACCTGACCTTGACCCTGACCTATGCTTGACTGACCCCTACATAGAGTTCACACTCCTGTAGGCCTTATATGATAGATTGTTCACAGTTTTGACAGAGTTACTGACGAGAGGTGCCAATTGAGAAGTCCTGAAGTTCATGCTACTGAAAGCCCGATTTCAGGTGTTTTACCTGACCTTGACCCGACCTCTGGCTTCAAAATTCAACTTTAAAGTACTCATCTGAAGCGTCTTGTCGCGTTCTTTCGTTTGCCGCCTCGTGCGTTTCGCTGCACTTATTGGTTCTCGAGTTATCGGCTGGGGCGTTTAACGCCCCCCCCCCCCCCCCAGCAAACGGTGGGTGGCGAAATAGGTACCCCAGCAACTGCCGGGTTAAAGATGTCGAGTTTTCTTTCGAAAGTATTCCAGAAAGACAACTTTGCATTGATTTCGCGAGGGGTGTTTTACACCAGAATTAAATGCTCCCTTGAACCCGCCAGTGGAATGAAATCGTAAAATAATGTAAAGTTTTAAAGATCCTTGAATATGAAACTCGAGTTAAGTCAAAGCGCTTTCTTCAAACGCTTGTTATGAAGTATGCAGACCAAAGAGCATTTTAATCATTCCTGGTTGAAAAGCATGCATGGAATATGCAATATATGGTAGCCACTAGCCGAAAAACCCTACTGCAAGCTGTAAATGAAAATTCCTTTCGTGCAATTTATAGACAAACGATGATACCAATGACTGACTTGAAAGAAGGAGCGACGAGTTGAAACAAGGCATTTTATCATACCTAGCTATTATAACAGTTTTGCAATATTATAACAGCTGGCCAATTTTTGTCATCGTTGCTATCTCATTCCTTAAGTGCGCACCTAGATCAGTATCATGTCAAATTCAAACTTTGATGTTAGGTAGGTAGTGCAAATAAAATGGCCAATTCATCGAACGATTCATAAGAAGCATTAAAAAACAGATGTTAACAAAACTGTAAAAGTCCGTCAACACCTGACACCACCTCAGCAATTGGATACGGGATCGCTGTGAAATGTAAGGTAATGCCATCCGGCACAAACACAATGACTGTGGTTGCAGTAGGGATTGTATCCCGAGTATAAGCGCCACAAACTCCCAAGCTGTGTCATTTCAGTCTGCTGCTAATACGTCCCCGTGGGGACACTATGCCGACAAAGTTGCTGCTAACGAGACTTCTCTGACGAGAGTTAGGACGCGGAAAGCTGTAGCAACGAATGTGACGCCCCCGAGCTGGCGGGTCCTGAAAATCCCCAGATATGTGTGCGATGAGCCGGTGTCGCTCGGCCTGCAGCATCACAATATACGTTACGATGTTACATGCAGCTTACGATCGTTTCCGAAAACTACGAGACAGTTCTGTGTCTTGTGTAAAATCCGGAGCGGGCTATGAGGTTTGTTTTATCTCCAAGAGAACGCCAGGTTTTGAAATTCAGTGAGGAATTCGGTCGTTACTTCAGAACTTTTACGATGTGACATATAGGAGCTATACCGGAAAAATGATGAGTTTTGCAGTAGGAAGGTAACAAGAATGCATAAGAAAGGTTTGCAAAAGCTCGTAGCATGTCTCTAATAAAAACGGCAAGACTAATATTATCACAAAGTAAAAGCCACGAATGAGCTGCCGAAGTTTCAATCCATATTTTCCACAAAAAAGCATATCGCCATTGTAATAATACACCCATTTTAATAACGCCTAAACACCACAAGCATATTGAAGTTGTGTCAGGCTCTTCATTCACACAGAGCATCTAAACCACACCGTATTTTGAAGTCTCCAAGCCTTCTTGCAGCCAATAACCCTTTCCCGTGACGGCAGACGGCCAATCTCTCCCGGTACTGCACGCACCGCCATCATATCGCACGTGCAGTCTGCCAAATTACGCACGGACGTCACTGGCAGCCTCCGCGGCGGGGCGCGTGGCCTCACGGCGGCGGCCCGTGCGTGGCTTGTTTGTCTTGCATCGTGTCGCTCGCCGCCTCCTCTGCAGTACGTCCGTCAAACGCTGACTGGATGGCTCCAGGGAATAGTGGCGCTCGCGTGCAGCCGCCCGTCCCCCGAATAGCCTTGGTCGCGGCCACGCCGTCCCCTCCCCCGCCGGCCGTCGTGAGTCGCGGCGGCGGCGACATTGACACCTCCCCGTAACAGAGTGTCAAACTAGTATGCAGAGACGGCCGTGTTTGGATTTGTGACATGTGAGAACACTGGACCTGTTTTAGAGAATTCCTGTGAAATAACAGATCAAAGAGAAGGCGGCAGCGACGCTGGCTGGCATTCTCGGGTGTAAGCCTGTTTCTACATCGCTCGAAAGCTATTTTAAGTTCACCAACTGCATACAATGTATAATCTATGTCGCGCAGAGCATAACGAGGTTATGGTGCAGATATAAGGATTTTTTCTCCTGGAAGTGATGCAAGAAGTTAAAACTTCTTGCATCACTAATGTAGAATGCACGATGCACAATGCGCATTGCACACCTCGGCATCGTACAAAGTGATTAAAAAAGTCTCATATTTGTAACTCATTCATTACCTATATTTTTTCTTCGAGGAACTGTTGGTATGAGATAAAAAAAAAACATCCTCTCTTCTCTATAGCAATGAAGACATTCTTCATTTCTCAAATACATAGGTACCTACCTTACCTTGTTATCAGACACATCACATCGAGTGCAGCCTAGCAGTCCGACCGTACAAAGCCGGCGCAGTTCGAAAACTTCGTTCTCCTTCCAGCGCCGTTTCATTAGAGCGGATTCCGAACGGCGCGTCAAAACACGCTCGGCATTCGGTCCGATCTCCGAGTGATGTCCAGTTTCCAAATCCCCGCAGAACGACGTCCAGTTTCCCAATGCACTGTGAGTGATATCACTTCTACAAGTGCCCCCATCACCGGCACCGGCAAGTAAGGTCACTGCTTGTACCTCAATCTCTGGTGAGTTTATGTCAATGTCAATTGTATACCTCTATCACATCTTCGGCAGTTAGGCAGTTCGTTTCGTTTAGCGTCCATATCCCTATGGGTCATCACCTGCACCCCGGTCTGTCGTCAACACAGCTGGGTGTGACTACCCTATCTTCCCATCCCCAGCAGCTTATAGTCAATACCCGAACACTTATCCCTACAGTTCGAGCTACTGCTCTGACATCACGCGACCACGCGATCCATAGCCAGCGAACCGCACCTGTTCGTCTGTCCGCCTGTTGGTCGTGCCGCTTAGGGCAAAGGGCACCACCGAACCGGTACGGTCACTAAGCCCACGCACGGCACCCCGCTAATCCCAAGGGCAAACAGCCCGACATGGGATCGGGCCAGCCTCATGAACGTGCCGAGGAGGTCAGAGGATTCTTGAAGTCTAATGCCTGACACTGGTCAGATTACATGGCCCAATCGTAAGTTGAAATCCAGGCCGTTCGTCAGAAAGGCTAACATCAAAAGACAGTCGAACTAGTTTGGGCCATCGGTCAAACGTCAATTATTGGAAGTATGATTGAATAGGCGATCAATTTATCTACGTTTGTGCTCCAATACATTGCAATGCTCAAATAATTTCCTCCTCTTTTGTGAGCATTTTATTTGGGGCTAAGTTTTCTTTATTTGTAACAGCAAAAGCGTCGCAAACCGCAACGCAACGTAAACGCAAGGCGTATGGTATGACTTGATTCAAGATGCAATGCACTCCTCAACTGACAAATCACTCGCAATCTGAACGTATAATGTCAACACTGTAGTAGGCGCTATAGGGCCAGTACTTACCGAGGTTGTTGGCCAGCGCCAGTGTGGGCAGCAGCAGCAGCAGCGGTAGTAGCGGACAGGCTCGGTATCTGGCCATTGTGGGACTGGCACTCGCTAAAAGGTGACCCAGTTGAAAGAGCGACCGACCACACGACCGATTCCAGCACCGTTTGAACCTGCAGTGGGAGAGAAAGCATGGCAGCCTGGGTAGCTGACACGTTCTGTTGAGAGAGTATCCATCGAGCAATGGTGATTTAATTTCGCAACATATTTATACCTACTAAGAATTATAATTGGTATATTATCTACACCTCATGTTACGCATATCTTAGCTGAGTGGTTTAGTGGAGAAAATTCCATTCCATCGCCTTTCGAGTTTCTTTCTTTCTTTACAGGCAAAACGCATAAGAACAAAAACAGTTCATCTGGATAGAATGCCTAATGGTGTCAATCACATGCTTCACATGTTTCAAGGTAAGTCAGAGCAAGAAGTCAGAGTGTCTGTCAATTTCTTTTCAAGTGAAAAGCAAGGGAACATGGTCACACACAAAGGTCGGAGTTCTACATCCTAAATCGGACAGCTTGCATACTGTTATAATCAAACGTATTTAATTGTAATTGATCGACATTTGCGCAACTGAGTAGATTCACACTTCCAAACCTGTCAATCAGATCATTCATCTCACCTGACCTGCCCACTGTCGCGTTCGGTTCACCTCAATGCGTTCTCGGTCTCCACACATCAGCGTCGCCCACCCGACGCGCGCCGCCCCGGGGCACTCTCTGAGGCGACCAGCAGCGGCTGCTCGGGCCGGAGCGGGCGGCGTGCGGCGGCTCCCAGAGGGCGGCAGCGCGCTCTGAACACTCCAGAGGGCGGCAGGTGCAGCGGACCTCCAGATCGCGGCATAAGAGTCAGACCTCCAGAGCAGGGTAGCAGCAGAGGACTAAATTATACAAGCGTTTCGGAGGGATGGCAGTAGAGCACTTCATGGGCCGGATAAATCCGTTATCCACGGATAAATCCGCGGACCGGATAGGATTGGATTCTAAATTTGTTAAAAAAGAACGGATATGGGCGGGCCAGATTTGGGAATTGAAGGTTGAACCCGGATCAAAACGGATCAAAATTTTAACATTCAACATTGAAGTTAAAAATTAACCTAATGTGTTAAGCGGCAGCAGAGGTTTGATTAAAGAAATAGGCATCATTTTATGACACTCACTTGTCACAAGACATGTATGGCTGTCTGGTCCCTTAGATTGAATTTGTTAGTCCAGTTTTGGGTGAAACCAGTTATTGGTGAAACGGATTATTACGGATATTTTTTGGAAGTTTGGCTGCAATACGGGCCATGGGTGGGCCGGATTCTGATATTCAAAGAAAGGCGGATAATGGGCGGATCTGGATATGACTTGCCGGATATGGGCCGGGCCGGATCCTAAAAAGCCTATCCGTGAAGTGCTCTAGATGGCAGTGCGCTCACAGTGACTTCAGGACAAACAGTGGCATCCCGGTGAACGGTAGGTATACCTACGAGGTGGGTGGCCGGTGCCATGAGGGAAACGAGGATTGTGGAGTGCGGGTTGCATATCTTGAAGCTTTTGGAATAAGTGCACAGTGCACTCTAACTATAGCAGGATGAGGTGGCGTAGCGAAATGCGGGCAGCGATATGTCAGCTAGGCATAATAAATGTAGGATTGTAGGCTCTTTGCCTGCAAAAAATGTTAGACATGCTAAACTTTAAACAGCAGAAAGTAGTAGGTGGGGCATTCCATGATAGATCGTACCACTTTTTTCCAATTTGACACCCTCATCTCTCGGATTTTAACGATAATTGGTCTATGGGGTAATCAGGGGCTCTGAATCCTCCTGTAACAATTTCAGGCTTATCAGACGAGTGGTTTTTGAGTTACAGTGTACAACATGTTTTGGATCTTGCGTTGCAGCCCCAAGTTTGGCGGGCTGTAACTCTAAGACGGATAATCCAAATGCCAAATGCTATACGGCATTGAACTTGCATTGAAACAAGGAATCATATGCATTTTTAAACTTTTGAAATATATACTATTTTTGTATATAACACCTCGAGTTTCCTTTCATTTGCATTTTTATGCCTTTGGGACCAAATTTTTGGGAATTTTTATTTGCTTAAAAACATTTTTGGATCATTTTTAAGTAGTATGCAAAAAATTAGGAAGGTGTTCTTTCTATAAATATACTTATTTTGCGTCACCGTAATGGTCTCGAATTGTGATTTTGGAAGAGAGCCTACAAATGGTGTGGTAAAGCTGCCTAGTGACATCACTGGTTACTGAAAGTTCAGTTGAAGTCATTTTTGCCTCACTTTTGCGTTGTTGACCTTGCGTGACGTCATTCGTACGTCACTAGGGTCATAAGAGTTTTTCGTCAATAACTCTCGATTAAATTGAGCTAGAGAGACGGGAAGGCTACCAATGGACTCGGGAAGACCTTGCGAATCGAATGATGTGCAAAATGATCTCATTCACCCAGCTTCGTGGCCTGACCCGACTGTTAACCATCTCTGTAGCGGCGCTGTTTGTCCAGCGCCGCGCTGGTTGGCTTTGCCGCGGACTCGGGGCGGTCACGTGATGCCCGGGGGCTGGCTGCCGGCTGGGCCGCCCGGTCGGGGCGCGGAGCCAAATACACGGCAGTGTGCTTACCCGAGGTCAGCGACTTAAGCTGACTTCACCAGAACAAACAGTATACCATTCGACGCGCCGGAGCTAGGCAAACACAAAGATGCTAAAATCGCGGCTCTGCGACCATTTGTTGCGAAGTTATTTATCAAAAACCGGACCCGTAATTTTGGGTCACTTGAAATGACTTCAGGGGTCACCAATGAACCCGAGACCTTAAAATTTGGTATCATTCGATGCATCTTGTAACGGCGCACATGCTCGTTTTTTTCCGCAAGGTTCTAGCTCCATTAGAGGCGAAACGGCGAGCTGGGGTCGTACCGACCCCCCGGAAACCCATTTTGTATACATTTAAATGAGGAACTTATAGAAAGAACACCTTTCTAATTTTTTGCATGTCGATTTTAAAGGACCTGAGGTTTATTTTGAAGAAATAAAAATGGCAAAAATTTTGGTCCCAAGGGCCATTATAGACAATTTAAAAAGATACTACGACTTTTTCAATATGTAAAGCTTTTCTGTCCAATTTTAAAAAATACTGTATTTATCTTTGATTCATCGTTAATTCATAGCTGTTAACCGTTTGTTGCTTGCTTAGCTCGTTTTTTTGAGTTATAGCTCATCAAACTCACCCTTACAATCTGAAGTTAAGAAAATATTATGCAATGTAACTCAAAAAGTTTTCATCTGAGAAGTCTGATATTTTGGCAGGTGTTTTTGGAGCCTATGATTACCCCTTGTACCAATTTTCATTCAAATCTGAGAGATGAGGGTGACGGGCCTGGTACGATCTATCGTGGAATGCCCCAGGTATTGGTCGTTGCATTCAAAATCTGTTTTATCCTCGTCTGTTTTTTTTTATTGCTTTGACTCGCGTTCATGGGTTGCACGTATGCCTAAGCTGCACCTGAAGCTGCAAATGGTGTTCGAAAGATCGCAAAAAATCGGCCAGCTTTAGTTCAGCGCAAATGTCAGGTTACCAGGTCACCGGGGCAGAGGTCATGAAACTCAAATTTCGAAATGCCTGCGACAATTTGATTGATAGCTCGGGGACGGGTAGAGCTATGCTTCAAGAATTATCTCAGGCAACGGCCTATGGCCTCCAAAAAATTGCCCGTCAAAATGGACGGTTTATGCATACAGTAACTCTGGAATTAATTTTGGTCGTTCTACGTCGACTTTCTCCGCGGTCGAACCTGCACAAGGCATTAACGAGGTGCCATACCGAGAGCATGAAGCTCCTGTCGGCACTCGGCTCAAAGTCGCTCTGTTCCAGACGTTTATCATCAGCGGCGATCACCCCCGAATCCGACGTCTCGGGGACCGGAGCGGCAGGTCTGTTCCCGCTCGGCCATCCGGTACCGCTTGCACACTGCACAGTGCGTCTCTGTCGACGGAACCGGCCTTTTTATCGAGACTCGGCGCCTAAAAACGCTGTCGGCGGCAGCGGAGGGCGATTTAGAGACGTTAGATACGCTCGCAGGCGCTACAAGACGGGCTCTAATCGGTATCTTATGTGTGTAGCGACTAGCGACTGCGACTGGAGAGCCACGGACGACTGAGTAGTATAACGAACGGGCGACTTTCCAGAAATAATGTAAATCATTAACAAGCCGACGATTTTGTAGGGTGGACCCATCAACTCTCCGTTATTAGGTATGTCCTCGGATACGACGTAAACGCTCTTGCTGGACGATCTTCACGCAATATAACATTAGGTGAAGCAGTGTTGTAAAAAATGCAGCTCATATAATAAAGTATATTATGCACAATGAGCTCAATAGACCCATTCCACTATTTGCAAGATGATGGTTGAATTAGACAGCAGTGGTATCAAACATCGGGCAAGTCATATGTACGGGCATTTGCGCGAGATTCATTTTTGTTGACAGTCACGTTGCCTTCGATGCTGTAATGCTCTGGGTATGGAGCTGGCAGCGTTACGATAATAACGCCAATGGAAAAGACGAGAACGATCAGCAGCACTACCATGCACAACGTGAGCACGTAAAGAAGCCGGTTGGTGGGCGGCAGCGGGTGGGCCGCCGGCGCGCTGCCGGGCCAATGGCCCCGCTCCACGGGCCGGATCTGGTGCAGGCTCCATGTCACAGCCGCTTGTGGCGTCGTGTGTGGTCGCACGGGTTGGCTTCGAACGTGGCCTCCAGCTGAGCCAGGGTCGGTGAGCGGCGAGTCGTTGCTGATGGCGTGTAGCACCGTCGACCTGCTCGAAGCCGGCCTGGATGGCTCTGGAACTTGATTCAAGTCTTGGTCGTTGACTGAAGCACTATCCGCTAAATTCGTCCCTTCAAAAGGCTTGATCGCGTTTTGACCCGTGTTTTTTACCTTTGATAAGTGTGGTGACGTTTCTGGAACTGTGCCCGATGCGGGCATATTTGTCGTAACTTCGCCATGTTTGCAAACCTAAATAATAATCCGACGCGAATACGCTGATTCATTTCGGGACAATAGTTCAAACCGCACGTGAAAAGCACGACAAGAGTCCTTCAATGAATCCAGAGCATTGAATAAAAATAAAAGCTTTCGAAACCCTCGAGGCCAAGGTCCTAAAACATAACGCTCGAGGCTGCTATCAAAGGTTCCATTCCCATTTAAAAGGTTAACTATTTGTTCTCAAAAGATTCAAAGGGCCAAATAACAGTTTTCTATTTACTTAGCACGAATGTTCGAATGGACGGATTGACAGAGCCGGGGCTCATACAAAGCAGAGCTTGTTGCATAGGCCCCGAGCCCTATCGTCCGATCGGGCATGTTTAGGCAACGGGAAAATATAGATACCTAAAATTAATTTAAGCTTGCCCATCAAAGCCGGTTACCACGGACGTCACTTTCCGAAATTTATTGGTAGGGCTCTTATAGGTAATTTTAGGATATCAGGGCTAGGGCTAATGTTAGGACTAATGTTAAAATTCCGAAATTATTGGTAGTGCTCGGGTCCTACCAAGCCTGTACAAAACGACACCCATGCCGCTTACGATCTGTCCCCATGGGAACTGTCCCACGCAACTAACTTCAACTGACTGCGGCTGCTTCTACCAGCAGCAGATCATCCCCGTCAGGCATCCTATCATGCACCTATCGCCCGAGATTCCTCGCCTGCTATAGCCGTTTTCATGACGGGCTATCCGGCGAGTGCACCTTATTTGACAAAATCTGCACATAATCTGCACCAGATGATGTGACCAAATGTGTACCAGATGGCCGTCGTGAAAACGGTTTATGTCACGCAAATGCCTATCGAACGCCGGAGCGACTTGAGCGCAGGCTCACGCTACCGGGAGTTCAATGTCCATCAACTCAGCTGGCAAGTGCTTTGCCAACCCATAAGGCCCTCGTGTAGTGCCCATGCAATATCACATTCACAATTCAACAGTCAACCCGAACCCCGTAGGAAAAGAAGGAAAGGAACTCACATGAAGCAAGGTAGTGAACTCTTACGACCGACACGAGGGGCAGCGCCTCGACTTCGAAAGCTAGAGTACACCATTTCCCCCAGAGGTGGCGCTAGTAGTATACGCCTGAAGGTATGCTGTACCGCATAGCACGAGAGTAAAATCTCGCAGTACGAGGGACAGTTGACATAAGGAGCACCGATATACGGCCTTGGCACCGTCTTTCGATTCCTCGTTTTCATTGTTCTGGAAATGAGCTTAGTGACTCCTTGAGCATTACAATGGTCAGCGAAATACACGAATGTCGCTATACGCCATTAAAATGTGGAAGGTGAACACGATTGACATGACTAAACGTGGAGCCCTAAGTTCTACATTAGATGCATCACACATCCGTATATCCTGCGTGCCACTGCCAGGCCCTATTCGTATAAGAAACAATCCAATGAAAGCTTAACTAACATATGAAGCATCTTCGCCCCACCTGTCAATTATTTACACGGCTTGAGACAGCACGGTTGTCGTGTCACGAAGTGCTGGGCCAGCTGCCTTTGTCCGCCAGTCGCCACCCTATCGTTAACCCACAAGACGGCAGTAACCAGTAGCCTCCCACACCCTCCAGTCGAGGGCAGTCACTGCTAGACAGCCACTACATGCGCGCCATGTACGCGAGCGCGATCGGCCGTCCAACCCAGCTTCTGCAGCTTCTTTCCGACCAGCACGCAGTCGCAGCGCCTCCCAGCGGCGCCTCGGGAAACTATCCGCGCTGACTGTCCACTCCGGTTCGCCCCGTGCTTGCTGTAACGAGCCCGTACTGTTGCCATCAGTTCTTGCTGTCAGTTGTGACCCCCCCCCCCCCCCCCCCGAGGGTTTCCTTCATAGTGACCGACGGACAGGGTTCCGGTTCTCCAATGTAGCATTAAAAACGGGGTGCCAAATCTTTGCAACGTGGAGGGCAGATCAAACCGGTCGAAACTGAACCAAGTTGCTGCAGGCGAACCACAGCCCCGGGTTGCTTGAAGTGACCATATATTTACCAGACATGTCATGACCACGGCGCCCAAGCATGCGCCGCGGCTTCCGTATACAAGCATTTGATGCAAGTGCGGGTAAACAGTTCCCTCACAACCGTTCGTCGTTCGCAAATTGCCAATGTAGACTTCTAGGAAAGGATGAGCGCGCACTGCCAGCAGTGGAATAAACATTTAACAGTACTTTTCAACACCTACCACGGACGGCTTGGGAAATTTGCAATAAAAGATCTACTGCTCGGCAAGTTCACCAAACAAAGCCGGTCTATATAAAGAAACGCAATAGTTATCTGAGCGAACTAGAAACTGGTGCTCACTGAATTGAGAAGCAAACTATTGAACCGATACATGAATTAAATGACTCACTGTAACCGATGCCCTGTGATAAAACAGACCGCTGGAGCCGGCGCACCGGTCCCGCGCGGGCCCGGCAGTGGCGCGCTGAGGGCGGAGACCGCGCCGCAGCAGAGACTCCGACCGGCCGGCCGCCGGCAGCGCCCGCGCTCGGCCCGCAAATACCCGTGGGACTAGAGCGCAGTGTCGCCACCCACCGGCGCGCGCACACGCACACGCACACACACAACACAACGCAACGCAACGCAACAGGCACCGCCACACGCAGAGCAACTATCGGGGCAATATCATAGGCATAGGGGGGAGGGAGGGCAGTGTGCCCACGGCACGGCAGGCGCGCCCCTCGCGGGGCGGCAGTATCACGGCGCCGTACCGCCGGCCGGCCGCGTCGCCGGCGCGCGCGCGTCAGTGTGTGTTGACAAACTGGCGCAGGTGGGGCGGCACGTGCGCCGCATACGCCGGCACGCGGCGCACGGCGCGCGCTGCCAGACAGGCCAGCGTGAGGTGCTGGTGCAGCGCCAGCGGCGGCTGCTTGCTGCACTGCGGGTGTTTGCGCAGCAGCTCGCTGAACGCGCGCCCCTCCCGGTTGACCGTGTCCACGTGCGCCCCGGCGTCGATCAGCCGACGCATCACGTCACTGCGGAACGACTTGTTGGCGGCCAGCGCGTGCAGCGGCGTGTTGCCGAGCTCGTCGCGCGCGTTCGGGTCGCCGCCTGTCTCCAGCAGGATGTCCACTACAGGCAGCGACGGGAACGCGCAGATCGGGTAGCGTCCCATGGCGGCGGCGTCCCCCGTGCAGGCGATGTGCAGCGGCGTCTGGCCGGTGCGGGTGACGGGCCGGCCGCGCTGCAGCTCGTACACGAGTCGGCGCAGCGCAGCCGTCTGACTGTCCGTCAGCCGCTCTTCCAGACGCATCAGCAGGCACAGCACGTTCATGACGATGGTGAGCGTGCGCGTGAAGTAGCTGTACTCGCGGTCCATGAGCGGCTGCCGACTGACCAGCGCCTGGCCCTTGACCACCTCCCGCACGCCGCGAGTGAACACCTGCCGGGGTAAGAGCCGGGTCAGATTGGTGGTCGGAGCACGGCCGTGGGTCTGATGGGCGAGAAAGGCACGGTGGTTCAACATATTTGCCAAAACCATTGTAAAAACATCACCTAAACCAATCGCTCTAATCCTTTTCATTCAAATAAAGTCACCTTCCTATGTCCTTCGTCTCACAAAGGGCCAGCATGAGCAGTGGGAGTAAGCACCGTCCCACCAGGCATTCCATCAACCGACACACCCATCCCCGGCCAGTCCAGCCCTGACTGGTGGATCCATCTAACCCTCGGACTTCTACCATGAATTTCACCAGCCCCAGACGGCAGACACAGTCCACTTCCTCTGACCACATTACAATATCCCACCCGGCCAGCTCTGCACCAAGTTCAGCAGTGGCCACAAGACTGACCATAAACATTAAACAGCACCCCTCTTCCCACTCTCTACACAGAGCTGTGACGACAGAACTTCCTTCCCCTTCCAGCCTCCGAGACAGACCCAGCCGCAGCCACAGCCTTGACCACAATCAGGTGCTCCCTGCCAAACTATTCCAGCACTACACCCAGCCGGTCTGGACGGAACCCGTCCGGCCGGTAAGGCGCTCTCAGAGCCCAGCCCGACTAACGGGTCTCAACACAGACCCTCGGATCTATACGGCACTTGGGCTGGTGAAAACTATGGCTTCCATAATTAATGAGATGATGCAACTGACAGGAATGGACTAGCACCCATCCCACGAACTACTCTACAAAGCACTTGGCTGGATTATGATAATTCAATGCCACTTTTTCGACAAATCCTCCCAGAAAAGTGATGATAAATCACCGTCCATCTCTCACATCTCACCTGGAAGATATCAGCGAACGGCACCTGCGGAGCCGGGAGCCGGTTCCGCCCCTCTGAAAGCATGAAGCTGAAGAGTTCGGCGAACGAGAGCAGGCTACTCTGAGTGAGCGGGCTGAGCGGGTCCAGGATGTGCTGCTGCATGTTGAGCGCGTACATCCACAGCTGGATACAGCGCTGGAAGTTGCCAGCATCCGCGTACACGGCGCCCCGGTAGCGGATGAAGTACGAGGTGTCCGGGTGCGCCGGGCCCAGGATGCGCTCGCGCACGATCAGAGCCTGTCGGGGGGGGGGGAGGAGGTAAGTGTTGGTTTGGCGGGTGCTAGGGGGGGGGGGAGAAAAAGACCAGTGGAAACTGAAGTGAGTCACAGAACGCGCATCAGATAACAGTACGCATCATCACAGAATCTGAGACGTTTAAAACAGAAAAGATATAAACCGACAAAACAACTGTCTTCGACAGTCACCGCTATGGTAATAATGCATATAAACTGCATTGTACACATATTCCAGAACACCCTCCGGGCATACTTCTCACCCACACCGTCAAACAAGTCGCAAATTCACATTTAGACATTTCAGACAAGACGGCGAAGGTCGAACAAGCTGGGACCGTTCTGTTTCATCAGAAACCACCATACATTTCGCCACCCGGACCTGCCACGCCGCATGCAATCGGTCGGCTGAGGCCCGCACGGCGATCGGCCAGTTATTGCGCCGACACTAGCCGCCCCGCCGGAATCGGCCGGGTTGTCTTGGGTCGGTAGTGGTGACCAGTCGCGGTACAGCGCGGGCCGCGGCCCTCAAGCGAGGTCTCCTCCAGAAGAGACGCTTCCGCTAGATCACTAAGTGTGATAAATGAAACCCAGTGGTAAACGTAATGACGCAGTAATGCTCCTAAACGAACGCAATAAAAATGACAGCAATTTACCGTGTATCTTAATGAAGCAACATGGCGTGTTAGGTTCACATATTTCGTAAGACAAAAATGACACCAAAGTGCTGTGCATCTATTGCGGAGTAGAGTAACGACATTCTCCCGAAGCTATGAGAAAACGTTGCGCAATAGTGCAGCGCAGTGATCGGCCCAAAGATAACAACCGAGCCCGAGCGCGATATCAAGCCGTGGTCGGCATTGCAATCTAAACCACCACAGGCGCTACACCGTCCCAGCCAGCACAGAAAACACGAAACCGAACGGATCGTCGAGATCTGTGGTCAAGAGTCAACAACCCCAGCTCGGACCGCAAATCACCGCCATGAATCACTTCGTAGGAACTCTGCCCCGTCAATATTTTCGCCGCCGAGATCTGGCCGCTGCTGACATTTCAAACATAGTCTGCAGCACAGGACGAGCGGCACTGGGCACACAGGCCGTCCACAGTTGGCACTCCAAACACTGCTGGGGCCCGGGTCAGTCGCCCGCTCCCCAATCCGCCGAGATATACAGACAACACCAGCACTGCCGACCTCCCACACAGGCACAGAACGAAACCATCCGCCCCTTCCGGCAGGACTGCAGGACTGGCCCTGCAATACACTCACAGGACTGGCCCTGCAATACACTCACAGGACAGGCCCTGCAATTCACCCACAGGACCGGCCCTGCAATACACTCACAGGACTGGCCCTGCAATACACCCACAGGACTGGCCCCGCAATACACTTACAGGACTGGCCCTGCAACACAATCACAGGACCGGCCCTGCAATACCCGTCCTTCCTCGTCACCCTTCACTCCCTGCTGGCGGCACCGGCGGCCCGGCGTGTCTTCACACCGGGGCCGGCCAGCTGGGCGGGCGCCGGTCGGCGGACACTGACCGAGCCGGTCGTGCATCAGGACCGGTCGGGCCGGTCCGTCCGGCAACCCCCGGCCGCTCCAAACGGTGGCTCATCAATACAGGACGGCTGGTCCTGGCTCGGCGCGAATACAGGGCCGCTGGGTCCGACCCGGCGCGGGTACAGGATTGCTGATTCGCCCGACAGCCTATTTATACCTCAGCTCAGCAGCGACACCCAGATCAACCGCACTCGGAAAATAGCCTAGCGTGTGAAATTAGAACGAACATGACCATGACCAGCGCAACTTAGTTTCGGCATGGTATTTAGAACAAATACTAGCCCAGCGCACTTTGGTACGCGGTTACACGTCGGTTTATACGATTGGCCCTGAGAAAGATGACTTCCTAATCTTCAATACAAGTAAGACACTATAAGCACCGCACCAGAACAAATTTATTTACATGGTGACAACGATAATCGAGGCGCACTATGACTCAAATTCACCGAACATCAACTAACACAAACATCGACACACAAACCACGTACAAATTCGTTTCAGCCTTCCTCCTGGTGAGTAGTCGCGATACGAACCGAGCATCCACCCCAAGCATAGCACCATCCCCTCCAGTCCCTCCACTCTGCGCCGTTGACTGACCTGCATCCTCATTTCGTCCGGGTCGGAGATGAGATCATCGAGCTCCTCATGCGTCAGCGCCTCCGTGACGTTCTCGTAGGCGGGCCTGAGCTCGGAGGTTGGCGGCTTTGGCAGCGGATTTAGCGGGTCCTCGTACCTGCGGAGGCGGCAGACGAAGACGAAAATCAGTGGCGAACAGAGTCAGAGGGGTATAGGTTACAGAACGGTGAGGTCAGACCAGCAGCAATGTAAATTTCTAGACAGATTAGATGGTGGGAATATGTTTCAAAGCGCTGCTTTCATTACTGACCAATTGTCAAGTGCCCGTTTCCAGTAGTTTGTCCAGTGTCCGTCTCCAGTACGAACTGTTTGTCTAGTGCGCGTTACCAATATCGACCGTTTATTTGGCACACATCTCCCACACTAACCGTTTGTCGAGCGCGCGTTTCCAGTACTCGATGGCGGCGATCAGGTCGTTCTTCTTGTCGACATAAGTAGCGCCGAGCAGCTCGAGAGCGTCGACCATCTCCTGTCGTGTGACCAGGTCGGGTCGCGCCAGCAGGTACTCGACGATGTTGGTGTGGCCGCACACGGCCGCTGCCAGCAGCGGGGTGATGCCTGCGGGACGAGAGACGAGAGATGTCAGACGGGGCCGGTAGGGTTACGGAGGTCAAACGGGGGTTAGATGGAGGTCAAACGAGAGGTCAGGTGTGGATCAGGAGGAACGTGTAACGTCAGGAGAAGTCAGAAGAGGTTAAATAAAACGTATTTGCGGGAAGACGAGGCAAAGAAACAGTCGCAAGGTCCCACATTCATGCATGAGACCATATCGTGGAACCAAGAGCAGTCTGAGGCTCAGTAAATTGAATTATCAAATGGAAAATGTGGCGTCAAATTTACTCCGTTGAAATGGAAAGGAATCCCGACAACCCACAAAGAACAGCGATAAAAACACGCTGAAAACGGCAACAGAGTACGTTTGACCTTTTCCAGACCGTTATTCTGGCAGGAAAGGTCATCCATGACACGTGTGGGGCGCGGCTATGGGGGCCGGCGGCAGGGCACACCTGGCGGTCGGCACGATCAAATGTTATCGAGGACAGGCCACCGACTGGCGGCAGAGGGGGATGAGGGCGCCCAGATCAGCTGGTTCAGGTCTGACTGACAACGGCCGGTCCCCGTCACATAAGCAGACAGATAGGCGAGGTTCGCCGCTGTACACCGCCGAGCCGGCCGGCCACTGCACTGGTCGGCCAGTGTCACATTGACAGACAGGGAGCAGTAACCCGACAGCGGAGCAGCGGCCTTGATACTGAGAGGGCCACTGACAGGTTCGTGTCAAATATGTAGAAAGGGAGCCGTGCCCCCGATCCCACCGCTAGTGCTCAGGAGGGGAGAGGGGACAGTGACCGGTCCGTGTCAAATATGTGGACGAAGAGCCCACCACCCAACCGCTACTGCTGAGGAAAGGGGGAGCATTGACCGGTCCGCGTCAAATATGTGGACGGGAAGCCCACCACCCAACCGCTACTGCTGAAGAAAGGGGGAGCATTGACCGGCCCACGTCAAATAGTTATGTAGACGGGAGCCGTGCCCCCACCCCACCGCTACCGCTGAGGGGGGGGGGGGGGGCATTGACCGTCCGTTCCGCGGCGGGCAGTGACAGCCCGCGTCGGCCGTCGATACCGTCCGTCGTCACAGTGCCGTATCGGTAGAGGACGGGGCGGCGCGGTGACCGGCGCTGACACATCCCTACCGGGCCACGGCCGCGCGACGACAGCCGACCGAGAGCGCCGATAGCCGTCGAGTCATACGGGTCCGCCCCGGCTCGACGGGCTGTCACATGAAACAGCGCTGACTCTGTGTCCTATCGCTGCCAATCGGCCGCGGTAAAACTCAGATGGAATGGCCATTGAACTTAAAAGCTGACACTGTCAAGAGCGGGGATTGTACGGTGCTCGTAAAAATTACTCAATACCTGATCCAAGGAGCAATAGTGTTGCAATGTAAAAACGTTAATCGGTGATCAGCTGTAATACTGGAATCCCCTGAGCGGTTTAATGATCTGAAGCCGATAGCGGGACTAATTCTGAGGCAGTAACTGCAGTCCTGCGCCTGACTGGCTCAGTTCGCTGTCGCTGACCCCCGCTATTGTCAGCGGTCTTAGCGTGCATGTCACGATCCCACTACGTCATTCTGAGGTACATTTAAAACCGTAAGGCATTGCCAGCATTCTTAAAGTTTAATTTCAACGTCTCGCATGTTTAAATCCGTTAGGCATTGATAGCATTGTCCTGGCTTTATCTGAGCATTCCGCATTGTCTGGGAGCCGCAATAGCTGAGCGGTCACCTCCTGCGCAGCACGGCCCGCCAGCAGGCTGCCAGCATTCCCACAATACCCGCCCCCCGTCTTGGTACCGGAGTACCCACCGCCCCCCGCGCGGCCTCCACAAGATAAATAAGCACCCGGTGGCCGGCGGTCGACCCGGCGACCACGGCCGTCCGAGCCGTGCCGAGCAGGGCTGGCGACATCACGACATGAATGGAATACAGCACCGGAATACAGCAAATACAGCATGGAATACAGCACTGGCACGGGCGGTTGAATCTCTAGTTTTACAAAGAAATCATTGAAATATCAAACCCATAGGCTGACGCGACTAGTCCATCGCTAGCACCGCTGTCTGTCACCGCCGCAGTTCTGAATATACTACGCGTTCGTGCATAAACCGCACGGTGTGTCACAGTTCGATTGCTTTGTCCTACGATCGGGATCCTGCCCCTGTCCTCAGCCCCAGTCTATGACTTGCGCGTGATAGGTTTCAGCTCATAGTCATTTATGAGGCTCCCCGGTAGAATCCCTGGAGTAACCCACCACACCTATGACTCACTACACTATGCATATCCGGCCTCCACCAGCCGGGCCCCTGCCTGTCCTCGCCGCCCCGCCACCTTATCACCCCGACAGAAATCCCCAGGACATGGTTAGACCCCAGCAGTGGCACTCTTATCCTACATATCTCCACACCACGCCGACGGACACTTACCGTAGGAGTCCCGCTCCAGTTTGGCGTGGTTCTCGATGAGGAAGGTCATGATGGAGAGGCTGCCGCTCTCGGCGCAGTCGTGCAGCGCCGTGTTGCCCTTGACGCTGCGCCGGTTGACGCGCGCACCTCGTGATACCAGGAACTCGGTGATCTTCAGGTGGCCCTTGTAGCAGCTGATCATCAGACATGTGTGGCCGTGCCGGTTGGCAATCTCGATATCTAGGCAGGGAAAGATCGGGTCAGGTCAGTTAGAGCGCAAGGCTGGTTATTGAATGATAAGAGGAAATGAGGCTAATGACAGCAGCGAGAACCCAAAACAGCCTTATTCATCGGTTATTTAAAAAAAAATCATTGCAATCAACCCTTCGTTTGGCCCAAATAATAGCATAACTGTTTTAGCGGGTACATAACATCATGGAACAAGACTACAGCAAGTAAGCAAGAATCGACGACGAGATCAGCATCCTACAAGATAAACAAGGATAATTTTTTCCTCCCTCAAAACCTCGCCAGACCGAAGACGTTGATATGATACGCTTTTGCTTCAACAAAGAGCCAGCGATCTCCCCGACATCGAGCGCTGTGACCGACAGGGCGTGTGGCGTGTCTGCGGTCAATGCGGCCGACACTGCCCAATGCCCATGGCGATTGGCCAGGCATTGTCGGCCGTGGGCGATTGCGGGGCGTCGGCCAACACGCAGCCGATACTGTGTGGCCGGGAAAAGTGGAGCATTTGGACACACACCAGTCAGCCAAGGTCGGGGCAGTCAGACCCTCAAACCACTGCCAGTGGATCGACACTGGGTGTGAGCTGGCCTTTGATTCTGGTTTCAGTAGGATTGTCTATCTACAGTCCAGCGTACTAGCATCTACAAGATAATATCTAGCATGGTTTCTGAAATTCATTCAGCCTGAATTTCAGAATAACAGTTGCGTAAGCTCGGAAAATGTGGACATGCTGTATATTTGTCCTACTGGTCTCATCTGATGTGTCACAGAGACATGTCCTTTTCCTGGCTGTAGCGTCCGACGCGCTGTGAGGATAACAAACATTAAGGAGCAGGCTCAATTATTTCGGAGAAGACATTCAGAACAAAACACCGATGTTTTGGTGCCGCGTGTAACAATGAGCGAGGTAACAGCTGAGGGCGGCACGTTTTCCTGTCGCGTAGTGGGCGCTATCGCGAGTTCCATCGCAGCCAGCTCCAGAATCCGGGTACAGGTTTGCGTACGCACGGTGGGGGGGGGGGGGGGGCAGGGGAGGGGTAGATGTGCAGTGTGCACCCGGAGTCGGGTCCGACCATATGGACAGACTTGTCTGCCAGCAAAACGGGTCAGACCGGAGCACTGCATTTAACATGAGCAGCTTCAAGCGGTGTAATACATACAAAGGCAGTGGAAACCGTTGTTCGGACTTGCAAATCAAGACACTGAATGTCTGGATCGATCTAGTTTTACCGATAATACGTTGGAGCATTATGTTTCAGAGATAAACAGATTCATTGCAGATGAAATCAAAAGCGCAGCTGGGGCAATGATGACTTGGGGGTTTATGGGCGCCCGGACTACAGTGGTCATCGGCGGCAATGATGACTTGCAGATCGGAACAAAGGAATACGGATTCTTTGAGAAAGTACCAAAGCCTTTTCGAAGAAAGAAAATTTAAACACCCATAAAAAGGCAGTGACTGATAATGTGTAAGTCGGCAGAGAGATCTCAAGAATGCATTAACTTTCATTGAGGTAAGGCATTGCGAGAGATAGGCTATGGTCAAAATCTGGATAGATAAATAAGTTCTCCTCCATAGAATGCATAGCAGGATATTCCATCTAAGCTAAGCAAGAAGTATAGCAGACAGGACATCAGAGGTTATAATAAGACTGTAAGAAGCTACACAGAATCAGTGACGTTTAAGCTCTCAGTCACATGTCTTTTGACGAAATACATTATCCTGCACACGGATGTAGCGTTTGAGCCAGTGGATGCGAAGGATTAGCTCGAAAACAAAGCGCACACCGCAGGGTATACCAAGCGATGTCACAAACCAGAAGTACAGCCGAACTCCCGTCGCCCTGGAGCCAGTCCCCGAGGTCGTTCCACAGCGATCAGCATCACGGGCACCGCTGGCATTGAAGCTGCCTCCAGGGTCACCGCATGCCACTTATACTCTCAAAGTCGATACCTTTGGAGTATCACTGTGACGACACAAACAGCCTCCGGCCGGCGGGGTGTACGGACGGCACTCCCATTACGCAGAGCACGGACACACATACACGTGTATGTGCGGACGGACCGGAGAGAAACACGGTCAAGGATGACCAGATCGGCCGCAGGATTGCGGCTCTCCCACAAGGACAGGGCGAGTCGCCTGTACCTCCACTCAGATGCCATCCACGTTTGTCTGAATGATGCACCCGATATGACACTCCCACGTCAGGAAAGTTGGCAATGACGTCATATGGCGTATCGTTACTCGTTAGCGCCATGGCAGCACGGATCAATGCTGGAGTGGATGATGAAATTCCATAAGACTGCTCCACAGAAACATAATGGAGGCAGTGTTATCAAAAACAGCAGCTGACGAAACATAAAAAGCTATTGCTAATGCCAACCATCGCGCAACAGCTATTGCAAGAATAGGAAGCGAATTTTGACATTTAGCTAGCATTCTTTCAAGGCTATGCCCTCAAACACTACAAAAATATACGATTTGAGGCAAATTAAGCAGCAATATTTTCAGTTAGAAACCCCCCCCCCCCCCCCCGGGTCCCTGAGACCCCTGAGCTCAAGCGCTGAGTCCCGCTCGGATATCTGGCTATTAGTCACCGGCTGGCATGTGCCGTGCTGAATGCTTCGATTGCGCCATCAAATGGTATCGATCCGAGAACTCCCGTCACTCCCGCCCAGCTCCCACGCAGGAAGTTCGCCCACGAATTCATGACGTCCCGCACACGTCCCATATCATCAATCACATTCCGACGGCCGTCACTTTTTCATGGTCGTCAGGCCAGTTCATTTCATGTCACATCCATCCATTTATCAGTCATACCGTCACGCAACTGGTCCGGCCCTCCCCTTCACCCAAGCACACACCAGCCCCTATCTCTGCCGCACCGCCACCGCTCCTCATGCTCTCCCTCCTCTTCCTATCCAGTCACTGAGGGGGAGGCACACTAACCCTTTCCACCCTGTCTCTCTTCCCCCCAACATCCTTCCCCCGCGCCACTCACTTGCTCCGTGCTCCACCAGATACTGTGCGATGTCGTGGTGGCCATCGAAGCACGCTGCGCGCAGCGGTGTCGAGTGGGTGCGTGTGGTGGCGTTCACGTTGACGCCTCGTTCCACGAGCAGTTGGACGACCGAGCAGTGGCCGGCGGCGGCGGCACACCAGAGCGGCGGCGCGCCCTCGATCGTCTCGCCGTCGAATATCACTGTCGGCAGACGGGGAGCGGGAGGTGAGAAGGTGAATGTGAGAAAGAATGAGTACATGGGCTAAGTGGTATCCCCATTCATGCGCACAGCACCACCACGGGAGAGAGAAAAAACGGCAGCAACGTCATACAAACGTCAGAGACATACACCAAGCGATGAAGCGATATACAGAACTTTATGCAATATCCTCATACAGCCACACAAAACACACCGGCAGGGAAAATATGACGCAAGAATCATAACACGCCACTACTATGTCTCAGCTCGAAGTTCGAACCTTCTAGTGGCCACAGTGTAGCAGCGCCTCTCGCCCCATCCGCAAGCCCCCGGTTCGGCCCCGGGCGGGCACATACTTGTCGCGCGGCCAAATACACCAGAAACGGACTGGCGTCAGCAGGCCAGACGTGCTCCTCGTCAGCTCTCCGCCGCCGAGCCGGCCAGAGGAGGGACGGCGCTCCCAGGGCCCCCGAATGTCACCGCGCCAACCGGCGAGTCACCACAGCCGACCTCGGCAGAGACATGGGCAAACAACAGCAGCTTTGTGTTGAATTTACGAGGCAGCATCAGCGAGAAGGTCTTTTGGCAGCCGCAACGTCTTATGATCTGGTTTTTGTCCTCTCAGTATTCCGTCCGACGACAGCCGATATACCTCACCGAAGCTGTCATAACGAAGACACGCACGGATAACGGTATTCGTCATACCGAGCTGTACCGTTACACATACGTATGCAAGCGTACAGAGATTGTCGCACTGGAATGTCGGCTCGGAGTTCCAGAGCGTTCCGCAGTAAGACACGATGTTTCTCTTGGTTCGTGCCGCATCGAGTTTATGCTCGGAAATCAGGTCATGACTGGCAGCAGTGCGGTTTACATGAGAGTACGGGCCTGCTAAATAAAACAGCACGGATTACAGAGCAACACGGCCCTGACACACTGCGCAAACACGGTCCAACGAAAAAGGTGGCCTGGGTTATCCATTCACCGACCAGAGACTCACAAACCATAAAACCACTTTAGTGTCAACACAATAGACGGGCTCAAGGTTCAATTATCAGTTGTTCACCGACAATTGATGTATCACAATGTGACCTTCAGCTCTCCGCTCTCTTAGATTAGATCCGAGAAGTTATCTAACCAATATATGAGCCCAGATGCCAACGCCAAATTAATCCTCATTTTTGTAAATGCCTTTGCCGCGGAAAAAAAGACCCATAGAAAGGAACGTTAAAAACTCAAGGTTCGACCGTTAAAACATACCAAACCTCGGTATATATGACTTAATGCGGTTAACAGCCACTCAACATGTAACTGAGACCAGAATGAGCCATCCCGCTGAGCCGCCGCCGACAGAACAGTGCTCATCAATCATCGCCCAGTCATCACGGAGCTCCGGGCGGCCGGAGCAGTCACTCACAGTCGAGTGAAGTGACCTTTGGAGTAATTTCAGTCTCCCTGTGCCCGCACAGAGCCACATTGCAAAAACGTCGGCGGCACTGTCGCCCAACTGCTCTTAGTGGCGGCGCTGTGTCCTCAGCTGGTGGCTGACGCAACAGGGGGCCGCACGTGCACCGCCGTCCCACGCGGGTACAGCGCGCTGCGGCGGGCAGGACGACACGTGTCCTCAGCGGTCCGCCGGCTGCCGACCCGCCCCGCCACTCAGCGAGGAGCGCGGCTTTGTCCCATCCCGTGGAGAGGTAATGGCTCCCTGCTCAATACTCGTGGTCGAAATGACGGCCGAAGTCGGTCGAGGCGCTCGTCCCTTCGCTGTCAGCCGCAGCAAGCTACCCACCAGCAATCCGCCACTGTTTGTACTTACAGAAGGTGTCGCAGCTGCTGCGGCAATCCCCTGCCGCTCTTGGCGTGGCTCGCAGCCGTAGCCAGCTGTTATGACCACAGACCAAACTGTTGTCATGGTGCCGTCACTGTCACCCCTATGAAGTCGCCATTCCCTGCACACCACAGTCACAGTCACAGGGCATGAAAAGCCAGCCACGACCCACGAATCACCGGCCACGGAACTCGCAGTCACAGCCTTCGACTAATGTCTATGGATGACGGGGCAGACCGCTACCCTCGCCGGTAGCGGCAGGGCTTTTCGCCCGCCGATCGCGCTGGCTCTGCGCCAACGGGGGAATGTTGCTGACCTTCGAACGAGTACCCAGCTCTCGGCATTGGCCCCAAATGGCAGCGGGATATCGGATATCTCTCCAAAACATCGGGGCAGCGCCGATATTGGCTATGATCACAGATAATAGCCGTTAGCTGATATGACGGAATTTCCGTGATTAATTTGGCCTGTCCACGCCAGTCACGGCTGATGCGCAGAATTACCATCACATGTCTTTTATCGATAAGTTCTGTTTGAAGGTAAGCAAGCTGGATGTCATCGTCCTCACGTTCGATACTACGGTTCAATGGTATGTCTGAATAACAATAAAAAATCAAGGACTTTGATCTCTCCACCATAACAGACAATAATCCCTACAAAGAACGAGGCGAACACTACATCACAATTCGTCATCCCACAACAAAGAAATTCTACCAAACAACCTTACCTTACCTTTAAGCCAGCATCCCATAAAAAAGGCGGACATGTCACCGATGCACGTTCCGGATAGTGTAGAGCCCACACAAACGGCAGAGGCCGCCGACAAGTCATCGATAAGGCGACACACGACGCTGTCAGTTCCAACACCGGACGAACACAAGGTGTGACGGCCCGTGCATACGGCTTAGCCGCCAGAGGTGTGTTGATGCCAGCATTCCGCCATTCACCCCATTCGGCCGCACCTCAGCCCGTACCCAACACGCTTTCCGCGACGGGGCTGGAAACCGGCTCTGAGCATCACGGACGTCACTATGACGCAAACAATAACAGCGTGCCATCAGTCGGCTGTCGCCGCGGCCGGCGCCGGCTGGCAGATCGCGGGGGTGGCGGTGCCAACTGGCCCGTCCCAGCCACTGCGCCGTCCCAAAACGAACTGACACGCGCCTCAGTCCGGCCGCCAACAGTCGCCAGGAGGACCGACACGAACTGCAGATATCCCGACAGTGGCCAAAACGAGCTGACATGCACCCAGATCGAGCCCCCGCAGTAGCCAAACGGACCGACAAGGGCCACAATCAGAGTTCAGACAGTCACCAAAACAAGCTGAAATGTAACGCAATCTAGCTCTCAGCAGCCACAAAAATCAGAGGCATGAGTAAAATGAAATTAAAAAAGGGCCAAGTGATTCAATCGCACAGCCAATTTAGCGGAGCAATGTCAAGACAGCGCCACAATCACTGGTACAGAGTGCAGCAAACATCCATTCCGTAAGTCCGAGGTCCAGGTTACATCAGTGGCCACAAAAAGCTGACGAAGCCTCCTACTGTAAGCAGCACAACACCGCCACTTTACCCCACCTTCCTTGGAGCTGGTCGCATTCTAGGATCTTGGGCCCTCACACTGAGGAGAGTTATCCGCGAACGGTCTCGCTCTTACACACCTACGCCTGACCTGACCTACCCTAGGCCAGTACTCCACCAGCGTATCATCTAGTCACAGCCTTCACATACCTGATCCGACCTGCTCGGGGTCGGCAGCGCAGCGGTCCAGCAGGTACTCGGCTACGTCGCGGTGCCCGTTGCGACAGGCCATCACCAGTGGGGTGGCGCCGTTGGTGCGGGTCGACACGAGCAGTTTCACCTCATCCTTCGGCCGGCGGTCAAGAAATACCTGCAACAGGGGCAGAGCGAGGTGTCAGAGGTAGCTGAAAGGAGTCCGAGGTTTGAGCAAAAGGTTCCCATATTTTCCTCTTTCTGAGGAAAGGATCCCCCACGTGCAAGGTAGGAGACGGGCTAAAGTCAGAGATGGGCAGAGATCGGGGGATCTTTGAGGTCAAAGGTAGTGATGGGCGGGCTGAGATAAGAGGTGGCCAACGGTCAGAGGTCAAAGGGAACGTTGCTAGCTCAGAGAGGACAGCGGGCGGCGGAGAGGGCCAATCAATCTCACACACAAACAAGACTGGACGGAAGACGAATGCTCGGCCGGCAAAATAATAGAGAAACGAGGAAGGACTTCGCTGGGTTCTGGTCCAACTAAACTTGACAGCTGAAGTCAAAGCGAAAGGAGAGATAAACGGGTTGAAGGTCAGTACTGATAAACCTATTGTGAAGAACCCTTACTACAAAGATAGTTATGTCTGGTGAGTGGTGGTTGAGTGGTAGTATACGCCTAGTCTCCAGCCATCTGATCATAGTATTATCAGACTCAGAGGCACGCAGGCTAAATTGGGGCCAAGTAGACCCTGACTTAAGACTCCTGTCGTCACGGTCATAAGGCGACAGTGTTGGAGAATTAGTCGAAACGGACGCTCACATAAGCTCCTCACACTACACGAGCTAAAACCGTGGCATCCGTCCGATGAGCATCAGCAAACCTGCTTAACTTTGACTATGCAACTGGTTTTCGTGCTGATCCAACCACTAAGCGCACCCGACCCAGGTGGTTCTCACACAAAAACCAACGGACTCAGGCTGGTTTTCATGCGAGTCGAAAGACGGCCAATTTCTCCACAGCCTCGTTTTGAGCCCGCACCATTTTCCACAGAGAGAATCCGAATTCATATCAGCCCGATAATGGAATAACCCAGCTTACGTATCTATGGCGACATCGTGCGCACATTTTCGTCAGCACGATAACGTCAGAGCTGCAGGTTTCACCCGATCAGAGCTGTCGTTTAGCGGACCCGGCGCCCGCTACCGTCACCCACGCACCGGCCACCGGCGACAGGTCGACCCTGTCAAACGGTGACGGTCGCTGGCACAAAGCCGTACTGCACAGTACACGAGCGGCGCCATATTCCCAGTGACTACCAGCTGACAAGTGACAGCGTGTGAGTCCCAAATCAAAGATTAACGCACCCGCTGGACCGGCCGGAGACGCAAAGTGTGCGACGTTACCAGTTTTCAATATTGCTATTGTGGTGTAGATCATATCTGTAGCATTATTCCGTGCCATTTTTGGCGACACTGTACAGGCTTTCAATAAATTACCAACTTGAAAAGCGAGAAAAGATGCAGAGAAACCACCATCCAAATATGGAAACGACGAGTGAAAGACAATGTGAGCCTTGGCAGCTCCCAGCGTTTGTTTATACAATGCAGGGTCCAATATAAATTAACCTTAATTAGCAAACACCAGTCACCAGACAGCCGTCATCACAAAGGCCGCACCCTTCAGTTCCGCGCCTCTCGGCGACGTCTTCCCCTCTATCAAACAGCGATTGGGGGCAGCCGACCACGCCAGCAGGTACTCCCTCCCTTCCCACCTCCGTGCCGGCGCCTAACGAGCTCTCGGCGGCGTCCGGAAAAGGTCAGGGGGCGGCGCGGGTCACGGCCGCCGACGGCGCCGCTTCCGCCGAAGCGCCAGTCGATAAATGCCTCGCTACGTCGTGCCGTCACCGAGCGGCGCCCCAGGCCGATGACGGTGGAATGAAGTGACCGGCCGTGTCCCGTGCCCGTCACGGGTGTCACGTCACGAGGGGTATAGTTCAGGGATCCTCAGTGAGCTGCAACCGTGTCACCAGAGTGCCGTGTTTGCAGCCTCTTCGGCTATTTTCACTACACAGGTGATCGGACCATCATCGCCATAGGAGGTTGGCTCTGTGTTTGCACCGGAGTCGGTCACAACACAGCTCGACCAGCCCTCACATCAGTCAGACGGGCCATCCCAGCCGGGTCAGCCAATGTGACCTGGTATGTGACACGCACCCTTTGAGAAGATCACGCGCGTCATATAGCGGTACTGTCCCCGGCCAGCTCCGACTCGTGTTGTAGTTACCCGTGCAGACTGGAACCGCTCGTCTAACGTTCAGAGTTCGTCCCACGCGTGTCCTCTCGCAGCATCTCCGGTGGGTCATCCGTGAAAACAAAGGCGATCATAGACAGCGATATATCGGCGACCGCGCACTTCCGGTATCTTCTGACGACAGTCGAATTTCCAGGTCATCAGACGCATTTGAGAGCGTACAGCGCAACGGGAAGTGGGCCGGTTCTCTTCCTCATGTTTATGCGGAAGGATATTCTGCTCATCCATCCAGTACCCACGCGCAGCCTTCCCACGCAGCTGCTTCACTCTTGCAGCAGCATTCTCTTGTGACAGCTCCATATTTCAGCATGTCTTTCTTTAGTTCAGTAGGTCGTCGCTATACGGAATCTATCGCGAAAAGAAGGGCTGAAACTTCTAGCAACCAACGAATTTTCTGCAACACAGTGCATCGCATTTCCATTTCCCGGTGCAATCATGCACAGACATCAATAATTTGTAAATGTCAGTTCACAACCAAACGTCATGAACATTGCATAAAGCGTCCAAAATAGCAGCACTCTTTGACCACTGACCATGAATACATTCAGCGCATCAAATGGCTCTGCACATCTGTCTCCATCTGTCTGCCTGCCAGGCCGTCCGGGTGAAGTGACCCGGAGACTGATGTGCTCAGTTGTGAGCCCGCAACCCTGCAGTGTTCGGCCGGCGGCCACACCGTCAGTGCCGGTGGTCTACGGTCTGGGACGTGGCAGTTCGTCAGCACCCACACGAGCCGCCGCTGACTACCGCCGCTCGTCAATTGCGGCGATAGGGTGGAAGTAGCGGTCTCTGCACTCGCCGACCCCGGCAGGCGAGGGGTGCAGAGCGCACGGCAGACGAGCGACATCCGCCAGCGTCACGCAGTAGCGCGTCATCCTGCGTCATCGGGCGTCACCGGGCGTCAGCGGCCGAGCGCGACGGTTGGAGAGGAGCGGCGGGAGAAGCGAGGCCAGGGTGGAGAGCGGCCCGTCGCCGACAGCGGAGGGCGAGTCGCGAGTCGCGACACGGAGCAAGTGGGTCACCGCCGGCGACTGGGTACGGCGAGACGCCGCCAATTACCAAGCCGCTTCACGCACTGTGCTGGAGCGGTTTCTGGGCCAACGACCATTTGTGCCGGGGTGACGGATCTTGGCTGGGTGACAGTGAGCGAATTGGCAGTAATTACAGGCAGTCAATGCCTGCCACAGTCCTACCACAGAGTTCAGGGTGGCCTAATGTGGACCAGCCCGTCGACCGGGCTCCACCAGAGCGCGGCACCTCGTTACCTCCCACTAGCAGACAGCCTGTCAGTCGGCTGATCGAGCGACCACCCACGGGTGTGGGGAGGCGATGCAAGGGGTCAGTGCCGCGGGCGACTGGGTCAGTATGTCACGCCCTGAGGGGAGTAGATCGGGGTCAGGTCGGTCGGTCGACCCTGGAGCGGCGGTACTGACGCGCGCGGTGCCGAGGAACGTCGTTCTCTGGCAGCCGGCACCGCCGCCGTCACCGACGGTGGTTCTTGGCAGGCCGCTGGGCGGTGTCGGTGTGACGGGGTCGACCGTCGGAGCCAGCAGGGACCGAGTCGGCCGTGCTGCCCGCACCGCGAGACACAGCAAGGTCAGGGCCGCCGCCGGCCAACTGGGGCGTAAAAACACGCACAGCCACGTCGGGCGCCGGCAAAAACCGAGCCCGGTCGGCGCTCCCCGCCGTCAGGACGCTCATGCCACTGCTCGGAACCCGTCGCGCCCAGATACTAACCCGGAACGGGGCTCACGCGGCGGCAGACCCGGCAGGCGGCGGACGGCTACGCCGCGCCCACCAGGCGAGATACGACCATCGAAACGCCCAGCTCCGATTCAGCGTGATGGACAGATAGTGAAGCCCGCTCCGGGTGACGGGTGCCTACGCACACGGCCGACACCGAGCTAAGAGGCGGCTCAGCGCGATAAGAGAGCTCAGTTTGGCCCTGCAGGCCCCACCACCGCCTCTCCAGACGGCCTCGGCTGTACTGGGAACGCGGCCGGGCCGGTCCGTGCCGCCCACGGACGTGCGCCGCGGCACGTGCGTGCTAAGTGCGGCCCACATGGGACAGTAACCGCCAGAGTCCAAAGCACGAGTGCTGGACATCGGCATTGAGTGGCCATGCCTCGCCTGCAGAGACAGCAGCCTTGAGTGGCCAAACGGTTGCCTGTTTACACCCCGTCTCCGTTTTCGTTCGCGACGGCTCAAGGCTCCAGTGCAGTCGCCCGAATTACCCGTTGCTCCGCGGCGCTGCGGTCGGGCTGCCAGGGTCGGCCTGCCCGGATCTGTGAGCCCAGCCCCAGAGTCGGAGCTGTGGGGGGGGGGGGGAGTGAGGGGCGGACGGCGCTGGCAATGAGCCGCGGTGGGACGGAGGCTCCTGGGGCGCGGCTGGACTCGTGGCGGTGCAGCGCTCCGGGCCTCGCGGGCGGCGCGGCGGCGCTGCCGAGCCCGCTGCTCGGCCGAGCGTTCCGCGGCGGACGCACAACGGTCCGCGGCGCCGCTGCACCGTGCACGGCCTGCATGGCGGCGCCGCGCACCGGGCGACCTCGATCGCCACCAGCCGGAAGACGGCGCCGCCGCAGCGCCGACAAACAGAGCCGAGCTGAGAGCGAGCGGCCGGCGGCAGAGTGCGTGACCGAGGCAGACGGAGACGGAGGCCAAAACACATCATGGTGGCCGGCTCCGAACCCGCACAACACTGCGGTGCAAACAGAACCCTCGGCGATGCAGCTCACAAACAAAGCCATCGGCAGACTCTGCCAAAACATACACAAAACCAGCGGGGGAGGCGCGTCCCCAGTGGCCCAGTCCCAAACCAGCCCAGACCGCCGCGGACCAGCTCCACCCCGCCGGTCGGTCAGAGTGCA